AATCCCCTCAAACACACACTGGAACTTCTTCTTCAGGTTACACTTGAGTTTACGTCGGCACATTGGAGCAGCAGTTCCTGAATGAAGAAGAAATGTGATTAATAAGTGGATGCTACAGTAAATCTGATAAATGTAAACTTTAAGACATCAAGATGGTATTTATTTTCCTCCTCCATGAAATCTCTTCAGCTCATCAGCTGTGAACAGTTTCTGAGTTTCAGCCCAGAAGAATTCATAGATCTGATCCAAATGTGTGCATCATATTAACAGCAGAGTTTGAAATGGAAACTTCTCCCATGTTGCCTCCATTTCCTCTTTCCATCATGTTAAATCTGTTCAAATCCTCTTACTGCTCTGCAGACGCTCAGCCAGCTCCTCCTGCTTCATTCTCCTCAGGAAGTGCAGTGTGATCTTCAGAAATGCCTCTCTGCTGCTCCTCCTCTGCTGCTCCTCCTCACCGTCCAACACCTCCTCATCTCCCTCTGACTCTCTAAGCATTCTGGGTAATCTGGACTCAGAACTCTCTGGAACTTCTTCACCTCGTTCTTCACAAACCTGCCAATGTTTTCCTGGAGCAGCTGGAACAGAAGAAAATGTAAAGTTGAACTGGTAGAAGTCAACATCAGATCATCTGTGACAGACAGAAAGCCTGCTGGTCTGCAGAGTGCAGCATGGAGACTGGATCAGAATGCTGCTTCACTATTTACTTTGTGGCTCCTGTAATTAGCAGTAGTAGCTGAGCTTGTACATTTACACACCATAAATATGGAGTCCAGGTCTGTTTGATGCTGCTGGGCAGACTGACCACTGGGAACCTCTGAGCTCTGCTGATCAACTCTGTGAAGAAATATGATGATTTGAACATATAATGACAAACAGTGTTACATGTGCTGTGTTATATCTGGTAGAAACAGATCCTCATACACCTATACCAGATCTTGGTATAAAAATGTATGATCTGGTCACTTTCCATGGAAACACCGCTGGGTGCAGGGTAGACTGGACAGGAGAAAATGCTGCTGTTTTACTCATCCAGCTGTGTCTCAGTGGACATCAGCGGACGAGGAGGCTGCTGAGGTCCTACTGGACTCTAACTGGACTTACAGTTACAGTAAGCAGCAGACAAAAGGGCATGCTCATACTTTTAATATTTTTACTTTCTCATGTGTTTGCCATTTGTTTTGCACTGTTCTTTGAACCTGGTTCATTTCTGTGCTGCTGATGTGACATGAGAATTTCCCTCTGGGAATAAATAAAGAGTCTATTATTATTTTTAATTAACAAAAAACAGTGCTGAACCAAGACCTACCTGAGAGCTCTTTTTAGGAGAGTCAACAAAACAACACAAACATTTAAGATTCTTACTTTTGTTCAGCATCATTATGTCCAGCTTTGAAGTGAACAGGGACATGACGGTCGCTGTTCATGGACACACAGCTGGGTCCAGGAGAATCTGGTCTCTGCCGATGGATCCTGAACAATGAAATAACAAATCAGATGTGTCCTCAAAGCAGATTTAATAGATATATTTATGTGTTGGTGTCTCTGGTAGTGAGTTTTCAGCTGAATCTGCAGTTTCTCAGCGTTACAGAGTTTTATAGCGACTTTCAGTTGTTGTTTATCTGTCCAGCTGCATCTTTACTGTTAGTAGCTCAAAACTAAACTTCATTCACCTCCATTGAGCAAGAGGAGGCTCCATAGACAATGTTCTTATACATTCTCAAACCTGCATCCAGCTGTTTGTGATTTTAACTGTGGTTTTGATATTTGGACTAAGATCTGCAAAATGTGAGACCAGTTTGAAAAAAGGTGAAGAGTTAAGAACATGAAGTGATCAAAACAAAGACACCAAACCTCATCTCAGGAGAGACACAAACATTTAACATGCTGACCTTTGATCAGCAGAGTGGTGTCCACCTTTGAAGTTAATAGATCTGTCCATAGACCAGTCACTCTTGATGGACACACAGCTGGGTCCAGGTCCAGGTCCAGGTCCAGCAGAGTCTGGTCCCTGCTGCTGCTCTGGGCTTCAACACAACACACACAGAGCTTTGAGAGTGAATAATGATGGTGGAGTGATTTGAGTCCTGGACAGTTAGAGATCCTCATCTCACCTCTGAGCTTTGGTCTGGCTGTCATGTTCCCCACACAGAGTGCTTTTAGAGGGAGGGACTCCCTCCTCTCTGTCCTCACACTGATTCATAGCAGAGCCCACACCTTCACACAAACACAACAACATGCTGAGAGAGCTGCACTCATTCATTACAACAAGCTTTACATCTCAGGACACTTTAGTTCTCCTCAAGGTCTGTGTCTTTAAATCTTTATTTCTGTCTTTAAATGTTTAAATCATGACCAGAGAGACACAGGATGGCTGATTTTACTTTGGTCCTTCTCTATTCCTGTGAGGGCCCCTGATGGCTGAGGGGCCCTAATCAACCTCTAAGTTCCCCTCCTCCTCTGGTCCATCTAGAAAGGGTCCTGGAGCCTCTGGTACAGCTGAGACCTGGGGCCTCATGTATAAACGCTGCCTACGTATAAAAAGGTTACGTACGCTGGTTTTCACGTACACGTGGGATGTATAAAAATGAACGTGATGTGAGAATGTGAAGTCCCTCCACAAACTTTTGTCTGGCTGTCAGTAAACTGCTAAAGTGCCAAAACTCACCAAATGTTTCAAAATAGTGTTTCCACTGCAATTACTGTGCAGATGTCAATGGAGTAGTCTATCAAAATCCTAATTATGTCTTTTGACAAAGGTTTGATCATGTATGTAGTGGTTTAATATCAAAATAAAATTGAATGTGAGAAAAATAGATCATGATGACTTTCACATATTTAATTTCACTTCATTTCACATGTTACCACTTTATCATGTAAACATTCAAACCAGCAGTGTTATTTGTGCTCGCACTAGTCAGCCATAACTATTCCATACTGCACCTTTCAATTGGAAAAGAAATAAAATAAGCCAAGTGCCAACTGCAGGCTGCCTTTCCCCGGTATTAGCCGGTGTGTTTACCTGAGGTGTAGGCCTCTTTAATAATAATGTTCGTTGTGATTAAAACCTGCTTTCACATAGCGGTATAATGTGAAAAATTTAGATTTTTTTTTGACGGGGGACGGGGTTTTACAATCACAATGCCATCGCCGATGGCTGACAGATGGCTTTTATACATGAGGCCCCTGGACTGTTCTAAAGGGTCTTCAGTGAAACCAAGTCCGTCTCAGTGTTGGAAGATGTCTGTATTTGAGCCCTGAACTCTTCATCCATGCACTTAACTTCAGAGTATTAACAGTTAAACCAGAAACCTGAGCCAAGTGGATCCAAGCTGTCAGACCAGTTCAGACACACCCTGCATGTTTCACTGATGATGTGAGCTCAGACTACAATCAGACTGCTGCTGATTCTACTTGAGAAACATGAACAATATTACAGGGAAATCTTTCTGAAATCATTGTTCTTTAACTCGGAGAGAAATTCTACAGCAGATTTCAAAGAGATATTTAGAAACAGCCAATCAGCATCAAGAAGCATTTCTACTGTCCAGTTAAACAGTGATCCAGCACAATGTGATCAAAGTGATCCTGATTATCAGACATTTACAGATTCCTCTGGTCGGATTCTCACCTGCTGAACTCACTTCAGGTCGACTTACAGACACTTTGCACCTTCATGTGTGGAGGAAACACTGGGAGAGAAGAAGCTGCTCATTTCTTCCTCGTCAGTCCTGGTGTCTGTGTGCATCTGATCTGAGGACGCCGTCACAGCCTCATAACTTCAGAGTCTAAAAAACATCAGAGGGACGTCAAAACCGGTCTAACCTGTGGCAGAAACCCAGTGAATGTTAGAAGAATCACACATCTAATGATGTAGTTCTGCTACCTGTCCACTAGATGCTGCTAACTAACCATCTGATGAACTAAATCAGATCAGGGCCGATATTCATCAAGCTTCTCTTCTTCTTCTTCTTCTTTTTAGTCTTAAATGCTGAGAATTCATGAAATTTACTCCTACTTTTAAACTTAATAAAAGCCAGTTATCAAATTTCTTCAAGCTAAGAATCACTGACTCTCCCAGTTATTTAAGAAGCTCCAGAGGTCTCTCAAGTGGTTAGGAGCTGCCAGTAGGGCTTGAGATGGCGCTGTGGAGACAGAGACATGCATGAATATTTCAGGAGAGAAAGAATTTCTGGATTATTTGACGACATGCAGTTAATAAGATGCGGTCGGACAGCGCAGGCATAAACTTTGTCAGCGAGTTGGTGAGGGACGTCACCTTACCACAGACTTTACGCAGTAATGCATTTTCACTTAAATTGAAGGTGGTGATGACGCTTTGTTTCTTTGCCACAGGACATGCGCAGCAATGCTGATGATTTTGGCCCGTCACAACCATCAATAAGCCGAATAGTCAGGGAAACAATTCTGGCAATCATTGTCACGCGTTTCATCGACTTCCCAACACCCCCCGTAATCCGACAGAAGCAGACAGTTCATGCAAATAGCCAGCCTCACAGGAGCAGTAGAAAGATAAACTTTTTTATCTTTCATTTATTAATGTGTGGGCCTATATCATAATATTCTCTTAAAAATTCTTTATTGTTAAGTGTGTTGAATATAAACTCCTTTAGAATTTCACCATTCAATGTGAATTTATCTGAGAAGATTCTTAAATAAGGAAATTATTCAGTGATTGGTCCTTGGCTACATCATCATCCAAAATCCTGTTTGCAGCACAGCAAAGTGTCGTAAATCACTCAGACTGACACTTAAGATTTACTCCTGCACTTCACTCAAAGTAGGACAATGATGCTTGATAACTAACTTTTAAGCTCAGCTTCAAGCTAAGATTTTTTTTAGTCTTAAGTCAGTTCTTAGCAGTGATCTTATGAGTAATTCTGAGAAGCTTGATAAATACGTCCAGATACGGGCCCAACTCAGCACTAAAAGACGTGTCACGCTTCAGATAAGACCCAGGAATAGACTGGAGACAAGAGCTGGTTCTCAGAGATTTATTGAGTCAAGGAGCTGGCGGTGGCTGCGGGGATCGGGGCAGGCAGAGCAGGCAGGCGAAGGAAGCTGATGGGGTCCAGGCAGAGAGGCAAACAGGTAACAGGCGGGAGAGTGAGAACCAGGACGCGGGGAAGGTGAGTTGGTCACGGACGAGTCCGGTAGAGATCCTGAGTGCAGGAAAAACAGGTTAGTTGTCAGCTTAACAAACAGAGTACAGGTATGGTTCCTAACCAAACGAGCTGGTAGCCAAGACGTACAGAGACGACTTAACAATCCGGCGAGGACAGGACGTCAGGCCGCTGCTTAAGTAGGGCAGGAACCCGAGGGACGCCTCCCGGCAACCTGCAGGTGAGAGAGAAAGGGGAAAAGGGCCAGAAACCAAAAACCGCAGCCACACCCAGGGGAAAAACAAAAACGAACACAAGGCAGTCTTCTACAAGTCAGGGTTAGGTCGCAGCAGGGGGGGCGTGACAAGACGTCATGAAGCAACAGTGTGGATCACATTGGTACACTGCCATATTTTGGACATGTTGGTTTGTAATGAGGCAGAATGCAGCCTGAGATCCCCGGGCGGGGCCCTTCACTCTGTTCCTCAGTCCTGGTTCCTAACAAAGGGGGACCAGAAGCTCCAGAACCTCAGGCTGCCACAGATGGTGTCTGCTATTAAAGCTCTTCTTCAAACAGACTTTGGCTTCCAAACATTTTTCTTTAAAGGCCTTTTTACTCGTTTGCACCTGTAACAACTTTTAACTTTGTTTTAAAAGCTGTTAAACACAAAGTTTGTAATTATTGTCACTTCTAATAGAGCTACTACTAGAAATACTGCTTCTGTGATACAAGTACAATATCTACTGCTGGGACTGAAAACTGCTGAGAGGTCAGAGGTCAGGGTCCGGCTGTAGTTTAGCTGATGTGTTTGCTTCTGTGAGGACAGGATTTGTGATACTGTTAAGAGCATTTGTGTCAGCCTACCTGAGCAACAAAAGTTTGCTCTTGTGATGTGTAATTCACATCACAGCCACTAGGGGAAAGTAGTCAAACTTAGAGGTCCCATATTAAGCTCATTTTCAGGTTCATACTTTAATTTTGAGTTTCTACTAGAAAAAGTTTGTGTGGTGTATAATATATGTGCATTTGACTCAACACATCAGCGCAGCATTATTGTTCAGACACCACACATGCTTTAATGTTCAAAAACACATTTTTCTCATGATATCCATTGCTTTAACACCTCTATTCAATGTCATTCAACAAATTATTTCAGCTGTACTGTTACGATGGGTGGCTGAGTGGAGCAGGTTGGAGGACCCAGATGCAGCGAACCGAGGTGATTTATTAGAACAAAGACAAGGCGAGCACACTTACTGATTGAGTGGCTGATACAGAGTCCAAAACGAGGATAGAGACATAAACTAAGGACAAGGAACGAGAGAAACAGGCAAATAGACGAAACAAATGGCAAAAACTCAACCTCACCAGAAGAAACTACAACTCATAACATGTACTTGTATAAACTGCTGGAGTTTAATTTATAACTAAACATCATATTTTATAAACTCTTCATGTGTAACAATCTGACTTTGTAAAGTAACTGAAGCTGTCAGATAAATGTAGTGAAGTAAAAATATCTCCCTCTGAGATGGAGGAGAAGGAGAAAAACTCAACTCAACATATTTGTACAACTACAAATATGTATTAAGGACAGTTCTTAGGCAAATGTACTTATTTAATGTTCACCACTGCATATAATAACAAACAAATGACAAAGGTTTCTTTGTTTGTTTGATAAACTGAAGCAGTAAAAGGAAAATGGATCTTGAAACAGTTAATCTCACCTCCAACACACTTCATACATGTCTCAAAATAAAGTTGTTGGACCAAACACAACAACTCTCAGTCAGAAAGCAAACACTGTCACTGATAACACACCGAGCTATCAATCAGTATTTTATTACAGAAGAACAGATTTTCACATTATGGACTGCGTGTGTTTCAGTAGTCGTCTAGTCCCGAGTGAAGGTGTACAGGTTGAGACGCCAACGGTCTCCGGGGTGGATGGCAAGGCAGGTGCACAGGGAAAGACGCCATTCACTCTGCCCAGGTACGATCCATCCCCGTCAATTAGTACTGGCTCCAGAGAGGAGGCACTACTAAAAGTCCGTCTCGCTTGTCTTCAGCTGGATGCTCAGGAAAAAGAGCGTGAGAGGCAATCTCAATTCCAGCTTCAGCTGGAGGGGAGGAAGCTGGAAAATGAGGCTGACAAGGCAGTGAGGCTGCGGAAACTTGAAATCGAGGTTCCCGAAATGGGACGGGGGCGGAGCGCTCACGATGACTCAGGTATGACTTCCTCTTCCACCACTTCTACCAGTTCAGTAAAAGTAGCATTTGATATTAGTAAGCATGTGTCCTTGGTACTGTTGTTCCGTGAAAGTGAAGTTAATTCGTATTTCAGTGTGTTCGAACGTATTGCTGCTGCATTACAGTGGCCGCCTTAATTCTCTAAGGGAGTTGATGGTGTTCAAAAAGTGTTTACCCGATCGCATTGTGGTATATTTAAATGAACAGAAGGTGAACACACTGTCTGCTGCTGCTTTGTTAGCAGATGAGTACGTGTTAACACACAAGATTGCCTTCGGTCCAGATTTTTCTGAAGAGTCACGACATTCTCCAGCCTTTTCACCTCGTTCACCCAAAGCGCGTAGCACAAGGAAAGAGGACAGGGAGTGTTTCTACTGTCACCAAACCGGCCATGTAATTGCTAATTGTCTTGTACTTAAACGTAAAGAGCAAATTCCACGCTCTTCTAAACCTAAAGGGGTTGATTAGAGCAGAGTCAGGTTTAGACACTGAGCAGCCTGAACAGGAAGTTGTTGACGTTTGTTTCAAGCCATTTGTTTTTGATGCCCATGTGTCTTTGACGGGTGCATCAGCTGATAAATGTGCCATACGAGTTCTGAGAGACACCGCATGTTCACAGTCAGTAATCCTCAGGTCAGCACTGCCCTTTTCTGAACAGTTCTCACGTGGCTACTGTTCTGTTTTACGAGGTATTGAAATGGGTTACATTCCACGGCCAGTACATCAAGTTCACATTCAATCTAAGTTAGTCACTGGATTTTTCCCAGTTGCAGTTTGCTTAGAGTTGCCGATTACAGGTATTGTGCTCCTGATGGGGAATGATATAGCGGGAGGTAAAGTAACTCCAGCCCTGGAGGTGTTAGATCAACCCTAGTGGGATGAGACACACTCTACAGAACACACATCCTCGAACATATTTCCCTCTTGTGCCCTTACTCGTGCGGGTGCACGTGAAAACCGAAGAGAGGGCGATGAATTTTCGTTATCTGACAGCTTACTTATGTCAGCCTTTTCAGATTCACCAGGGTTGGAGACTGAGGCGGAGTGCACAGTTATTCCTGCTCAGGATGCGGCTGCAGAGGGAACGCTCCTGGCTGAGCAGGATATACCGACAGTCTGTGTGGTGGCACTTCTAGTCAGTCGAGATGGTCTGAGCGTGATGCAAAAAGCAGACCCAACATTGAACAAGTGCTTCTCCTTGGTGGTGAGTGACAACTCAGCAAGTGGTACAAAAGTAGCATACATCCTTAGAGGGGATATTTTAATGCGAAAATGGTCATTAATAGCTGATGATGAGGATTGTGATGCTGTTTATTAGTTAGTGGTACCCTCTGGCTACCGACGGCAGGTGTTGTCGGTAGCCCACGATAGACGGTGGGCGGGACATTTAGGGGTGACAAAAACATATCAGGCCATCCTCAGACATTTCTTTTGGCCAGGGCTAAAATCGGAGGTTGCTAAACATTGTAGGTGTTGTCATGTTTTCCAGGTTGTAGGGAAGCCTAACCAAACTGTTCCTCCTGCACTATTGCACCCTATTCCTGTGATAGGAGAGCCATTTGAGCGAGTGCTCATTGATTGTGTTGGTCCCTTACCCCGCACTAAAAGTGGAAACCAGTTTCACCATGCCATCTCTTCCACCTATCACCCAGAGTCACAGGGCGCATTGTAACGCTGGCACCAGACCTTAAAGTCGATGCTCAGGAAATACTGTGTAGAATCTGAAAAACAGTGGGATGAGAGGTCAGAGTCAGCGGACACATCTGATGATTTAAAGACGCGCATACCAGGGTGCTTGGCTCCCCAAATCTGAGGCATTAGCAGGTCTGCCATCTCAGTTACAACACCTGACTGCTGAGCAGCAGCAGGATGTGGTGAGTCTGGTAAGTCAGTATACCTGTCTTTTTAGCGATGTCCCGACTTGTACAAATGTTCTGCGGCATGACATGGAGGTGAAAGAGACTCGGCCCATTAAGCTGATTAATCAGACGAAGGGTGAAATGATGAAAAAGGAGGCAGACGACCTCCTGCAGAATGGATTCTTCTCTGTACTTGTGTTCTTGTGTTCTTGTGAAACGTCATCTTTTGTGGCCAAAGTACTGTCCCAATACAAGTAACAATAAGTTTTGCATTTTGGCAAGAACGGTTAAAAAACCCGGAAGTGTTCTTTTTACCGAGGATGCATCAGTTGGTAACTTTTGTGAACTTGACGGCAGAGATATCCCAGAATTCATTTCATGGATGGGAGTGAGTAATGTTATGCTTTGCTGTGTTTGTACTATAGACTGCTGTATAAAAAAGGTTTTAACGCTGGGGGTAATTGGTCGATTGGTGTGTTTGGTTGTGTCAAATTTGCCAGCCTCTCAGAAGAGTTTTATGCACCAAAATGAAAGAAAACAAATAAATACTATGAAGCCAAGAAAGCAAATATAAAACTAAAAATCAAAGTTGTGTAAGTTACTTTTTAGTGCAAAATACTAGTGACAGACAAAATAAATATTACAGGTGACATTTATGATTTGGTTATGATATGAATGCAGAAAGTTATATGGAGGCAGTATTGCACTTAAGTGTATGACAGTACATGCATGCAGGGAGTAGAGGAGTGACAGTAATACATATGATAAATATTGTTAGTAGTAATATTAGTAATGGTTTAAGTTGTCCTCTCTTCTTTTTGCTTTCTTTCAGAGTCTGTGTGAACAAGTCTGACCTGGCTATCACACCCAAACAAGCTATAACTCTACATATCTCTTGCAGTAATGTAGTGGGACTAATTTAAGCAAGATTTACCAAGTAAATGTGCAATTATTTTGACTAGTGGACACGTACACGTATTATACAGATGCAAAGAGCAAGGACATACATTATCAAACACTTTTTGGAAATTGTAAACTAAACAACATATCCCAACTTTATTTTTTTTCTGTGGAAATTAATATTCTATGTTTGGCATCAGTATTTAAACTTCCATCATTATTGCATGATATCTTAAAATAACTGTTGTATAACTTGACATGAAGGGAATTTACACAGGATAGCGTTGCAGCAAACATTTATGAAGCCATTCAAACTGTAGAAACGTTTCAGGACTACAAATATATTCGATAATCGTTTTCACCTTTTTTATTTATACATTCTTTTTTGCCTTCTTTTTGACATTATTTGGAGACAGCCATCAAATTTGGCATGTTTCTTTTCAACTAAAGTAGTTGGTGAATAATAGGTGTTTTTTCCTGTTGACATTGTCATTCTGTTTGGGGTGCTTACAAAAACAGTCTAAGTATATATCCAATATTGTCTTATTATTCATCAACCAAACAATATTGCTAACAATTTTACGTAGCAGTTTAACTTATGTAATGATACAAATATATTAATATTATAAAACTAACATTTTCATGTACATTTCATTTTCATTTAATCACTATTTATTTGACAGTACACACTTCAAATAATTGCAACAGAGTTTGCATCTGTTGTCCCTGGGCATTCACTCAGGTTTATCCCCTCAATCGTAGTCATGCTCCCTCAGACATGCGGGCAGCTCTCCGGGGGCAGACACCTGTGCAGCAAGTCTGGCACGGAGATTATTTCCTGAGAACAGAAGCAGAATGAAAGGAGACAGGCGTTGCTTTATTGTTATGATTATACATTACATTGTAGTATACAGTTGTAGAGTAATCCGTTGAGCTGAGGGTAGGCTTGGGCGATAAAGCCTCACTGTTATCGTCAAAGTCTTAATATGTTCGGGCAGTGCGGGGGGTATTGCGCAATACCAGTAAGAACACATTATCGGGTGATGGTGACATTCTATGGCCTTTTTCTTGTATCCGCTGGTTGGGTCTCGTCTCAGTGTCTCATATGTGTTTGTGTCCTTTAGTAGTGTGTTGACTTTGTTCTGGTAGTCCGCTGTGTTAACGACTACGGTGCATCTTCCTTTGTCAGCAGGTAGGATAGTGATGTTTTGATCCTTGCTCAGAGATGTCGCAGCCTTCCTTTCTTGGATGGTGAGGTTGGAAGGGGGGGCCTTCACATTAGAAAGGGCTGCAGATACCTTTAGTCTGAGCTGTTCCGCTTGTGTTTCTGTTAATTTG